GCTAAAAAGGTGCAGGCCAAAAGCTCGTCGCGAACATAAGGAGGCAGGTCGTACTCAATGCCCTCCTCGGTCGCCAGACGCGACAGGAAGTTGTAGACGTGCGTGAAGATGGCGAGCATCGGACGGCGATAGAGGAAGACCTGGACCCAGCAGCCCACAAGAGAGGCTAACAGGGAGCGTGTGGTGATGCCGAGGTAGATTAGGATCAGGGTCAGCCTGCACAAGGCCACCGTCCGCACTAGAGGAGCGCAGACGATGCCTATGCGCCCTTCCACCTCGGCGCCCACCACCACCTTGTGCGATTCGCCGCGCGCGCGCTTGCCTGGATGCTGAATCAGGCCCACGCGCGGGTAGCCTGCATCGCAGGCGGCGAAGACCTCACGATCACGACGACAGGGGTCGTCGGGGCGAGGAGCGGAGCCATGCCACGAGAGCTTCTGAAAACCTGTATGGTCATCAATATTCAGCATCTCGACAAACGGTCCCCGCGGGAAGGGCGAGCGGTGGACAACCTGCTCGTGAGGCCGCAAGGCCCCGAAGCTGTGCAAGACGCCTTCATGTGCAGAGTTGGCAATCTCCACCGCCATGTTGTCGCCCATCGCTAGAGCATTGAGGCAAGGCGCGACGTCCACACCTTCGAGCTCGGGGCGCCAGGCTCGAAAGGCCTTGAAGCGGGATGATGGCAGACGAACGCGAAGGGCGTTACGCCTGGCGCGCGCGGGAGGAACGCGGAAAGTGTAGTAAAACTCCCGTAGGTCGTCGCAAGAAACTGCCAGCCACTCCCCAGGCGCCAGCCCCAAACGGCACAGCAGGAAACCCTGGCCAAGGCGCTGGGTGCTGGACGAGATTGAGGCACAGCGGCTGTTCACGACCGTTGGGTTCAGGATCAACCTGTCGAAGTCGCTGTCTTTCGGTACCCTGAAAGCTCCGCAGGCTTCATCCCAGGCGAGGTCCGAAGCAGGAGTCAGGTACAGGGCGCCGCAGGCATCCCACTTCTGGAGTAGGGCCCACAGCTCGGCGCGGTCCATATGGACACGCGCCCCCTTTTGGCCAGCAGGCCACTCTGACGCCGGGAGCCGCATCTCCTCAGGATTGATGAACGCTTCGCGGACTCGAGCGTCAGAGAGAAATGGAATGGGATCAAACTCTGGCGAATAATCCCACTTGATGCGAGACGCCCTGACTTTTAAATCAAAGGGCTCGACCTGGGTGGAGTCCCAAGCCGCCGCAGACGCCAGCGAACCAGGCACGGAAGGAGCGCTGGTCGGGCAGTGCCGCATGGGGGCGGGCACGGAAGAAGAGGAGGTGAAGGAGGCCTCCAAAGCTGCAACATGGGTGGCCAGGCCATGGAGCGAGACCTCAGTAGAGTCGAACTTGGCGAAGGCTCGACCTAAGTCGCTCTTGCCGCCACGGGCAAGGCGAACTGCGATCCGACACAACCGTTCGATACGGGTGCGGACGCCCTCCTGGCAGGGCGAGACCGTGGCGCGGACACGAGCCTCGGCGGGAGCGAGGCTAGGATGACCCAATGTGAGCCAGTTCAACGCAATAACAGAATACTGCGCGAGCGTCCGCGCCGCGCGCCGCAATCTCCAGCGCTCCCTGCGCCTCGCCGACAAGCCGTCAGGCGGGGGACCAAGAGGTGGAGCAGGCGGGCACGGCCAAGGATCGCGGGGAGGCGGCCCCAAAAGGTACGGGTCGTCCCTGTCCATTGCACGCATTGATGAGCGGGAGAAAGATCCAAGAGAACATCGAGCACCCATCCCAACCTGGGACAGCGCTGCCGCCCAGTGGGTGATATCAATGTTCGCGCCTGGAAACAGGCGCAGCAAGGCAGACAAGTCAGCGACGAATGGCGCGACGTTGGCAAGAGCAGCAGGGGTGCTTGAAGGAGAACAAGCACCAGCAAGAACACCAACCTCAGGGGCTGCAGGCCCCATGGAGGGAGCGCTCGACTGAGGCAGGCGACGGCCAAAATGGCCGAATGGATCCGAGGAGCGGTTCGGAGCAGAGCGGGGGGCGCGGTGGCGGAACGTACTCCTCCCTGCGGGGCCGCAACAGCATCGCTGGAGGAGCGCATTCCTACCCTCACGCCCTCGCTGCGCCCAAACACGCCTAGCAACCGTAGCAGCGTCGGTGCAGACTGTCTGCGGCGGCGTACCTCGGCCACGCGAAGGCCCCCCCTCCAAGAAGGCGGGCGCCAAGGGCATCTTCAGTCCTTCTTGGGCACCGCCTTCGGGGCCTTGGGGGCACCCTGAGACTTGAAGGGGGGCTTTGAAACCTTGGGCTGCTTGGGCTGATGAGGTGGATGCTTGGGAAGCGCGACGGCGCGCTCGGCGTCGAGGCGCGCCCGAAATGCTTGCAGCTCCTTCATGTATTCGCCCTGCGCCGACAGCCAGCGAGGATCCACCAGGGGTGAAAACGGGGTCTGGGCCTCGCGCTCCGTGTGACGACTGGTCACGCGACACGGGGGAGGCTCCAGCCCCGTGAGGAACCAAGCGGCCTCGAGGTAGCCGCGGTCCCCCGCCAACTGGTCGATGAACATGCACTGGCAAGTCAGCAAGGTCTGGACCCTCTCGGGGTTGCCCTCTTCGCAGGCCCGCCACAGCTCGGCGCTGAGGAAGGCAAAATGCGTCAACAACTCGTGCGTCGACGGCTGAGCCCCGAGGGGGCTGTGCTCGCGAAAGTACTGATGCATGGCCATGGGGGTCACGGCGCTGACTTCCACGCCCAGAACGCGGGCCAAATTCTCCTTCATCAGTCCTCGCACGTCGGGGCCGTGCTGCATCAGCACTTGTTGCCACTCGCGCCTCCGAGCGATTCCCCCCATCTGAGCCGATGCGTGCGCGGGGTCGCCTGAGGTCGCGGGCGGAGATTGAGCTTGGTCGCTCAGGGCCCCCAGAAGCGGGTGGAAGGCTGGGCGATGGCCCCGCCCCTGCTGCAATGAAAGGGACTGGTGCAGGCACTGAAGCATGAGGCTGAAGTCCGTCGGATTGGCCGCAAGGGGCGGCTCTAACCCGTCGGCGCCGCCCGCCTCGGCAAAGCCGTCGACCGCAGCGGGATGGGCTAGCCCAGGCGGCGGCGGGGGGCCCATCGGTCCGAAAGCGGACGAAGGGGCCCGAGGGACAGCAAGAGAGCGCGCCTTCTCCCACGCCGAGACCAGCGCGGAGGTGGGTCCCTTGGGGCGCGCGGAGACCCGATGTGGGGCCACGGGCGCGTGGGACAAGACGGCCTCGATCCCCGCAGGATCCAGCCCGAGGCGCGCCGCCTCGTCGCTGAAAAGCTGAGGCACCTCGGGCCGAGCGCTCCGGGCAGCCGGAGCGGGGCCCAGCGGCTCGGGTCCGCCGACCATCGTGGAGGCCGCGTGGGCTGCAAGCAAGGCGCGCATTTCGGCAGCTACCTCGGCGCGGGTCATGGGAGCCCCGTCGTCCAGAGACGCCGCAGGAGCACCAGGAGCAATCGGAGCAGGACCCGCGACCCGTGGCGGCGCGGCGGCGCCAGCGCGCTTGGCGGGCGGGCCGCGCGGCGCTCCAGCGACCGCGGGGGCTCGCGCACTTGGGGCCGCGCGGTCGGCTTCCCCGTCGGCCGCGAACCCCTCGGGCTCCTCCATCTCGTCGGCAGAGTGATAGGGGGTAGCCCGATCGGCCCCTGGGAGAGGCTCTTCCCCTGCGGTAGGCGGGGCGCCGCGCAAACGAGCGTAGCCCTCGCGAAGCACCCGAACCCCCGAAGGATGCGGCCAATAGACGCGGCTGCGCACCTCGGCGAAGGGAATGATGCCTGCGTCGTCGCCGACCTCTAGAGGGTACAGCGACTCGAGCTCGAGCTCGGCAACCTCGATATCTATAACGAGGACGGATGCGGTAGTGGCGAGCGGCCGGGAAGCGGCCCCCTGGAGCTGAACGTCCACTAGCTGGAAGGGGCCTATCATTCCAGCAAAGCCATCCGCCTCGGCAGCCTCGAGCTCCGCAGTAGAGCGAAAGGCACCAGGCAGGGCCAGCAGGATGCCCCCTTCTCGAGAGGCGAGGGGGATAGCCGCCCAGCTGGTGTCGCCGTCGTCTAGGCGCCATCGTGCGTAGTCGCGCGCCGTGGGCGCAGCGAAAGGGTAGAGCTCGGGCCAAAGGGGCCCTCCGCCAACTGGTGGCAGCTCCGCCATCAATGGGCGCCGCCGTGGAAGCCGCCGCCCGCACGCTGGGCGTCTGCCCGCTCGAGCGCTTGAGGTCGAGGCGGAACCCCGTAGGCCAGCGCTCGCGCCGCACGGCGGTCCTGCTCAGGGGAAGCAGGAACCGCGCCGCGCGGCCAGGCGGAGGGCCAGAGCCTCCGCCACACGCACGGGCCCAGCAGCCCGAGGCAGCAGCCCGCGCAGGCGCTGCAAGCGGCCGTCACCCAGAGGAGGGCGGCGACCGTGCTGAGCAGCCAGGGAGAGACCCCGCCGCTCAGGTCCACCGCCAGCCCGAGGCAGACGGTGGGGCAGGCGGAACCCGCCGAAGGGAGGGGGCAGGTGGCCCCCTCACCCTCGGACGAGTCCGCCTGCTGGATGGACCAGGCAGGCGATGGAGGCCCCTGGTCCTGAAGCACAGAGAGGGGGGCAGCCACGAGCCGCTCGTAGAGCGCGGCCCGCAGCCCCCTGAAGAAGATCTCCCCAGCGCCCTGGAGAGCCGCTTGTGCGACCGCCTGCATAAGGCGCCCGCACGCGCGGCCGACGGGGGGCACTTGGGCAGAGAAGCTGCGGAGACAGCAGGAGCTTGCTCACAGAGAATAGAAGAGGCATAAACACATATGTATATATATAGAGAGATATGTTACATATGTAGATATCTGCTATATATACATATACGGATAACAAAACGAAAAACACAGAGCTCTGCGAGGAACTCTTGGATCGGCTCTGGGGCCCCCTTGCGGCACATCTGGCGCCGCCCCTGGCGCGCGCCGGTCCAAGAAATCCGCGCGGAGCTCCAGAAAGTCTATGTTTACTGAATTTGTTTGTGTCTCGTTCGATCCTCTTCGTAGGTGTAGCCAGCGTCCCAGTTCCAGCGGGGGTCCCAGGTCCCGCCTCCTCCCTGCGGTCCCGGGTGCGACGGGTTGCTCGACCCAAGGGACATGTATGCCGGGTCGTCGTATTCCTGGTGGTCGATGCCGAACGGGTTGCGCGAGGAAGGCCCGTAGGGGATCCCCGGGCTTCCGTATCCGTGGGGGATGCTCCCCGCAGTCATGTCGGTCGGATGTCCATACACGTGCGGTCCTGGGGAAGAGCCCGAGCCTGTCCACTTCTTAAGGTTGTCCAGTCCAGGAACGTCGAGGTGGCCTTGGCGGGGATACTCCAGCGCGGGAGGGGGCGCCGACTTGCACCACGTGGGAATAGGGATGCC